GTTTGGGGTTTAGGGTTTAGGGTTTAGGGTTTGATGGATGCAGCAGGGTTACAGCATTTGTTGTTTCTCCACAAACTGCAACTGATATTCCGGGTGTAGAACGAAGGGTTTAGGGTTTAGGGTTTATCTAGGGTTTAGGGTTTAGGGTTTAGGGTTTAGGGTTTGTGTGAAGGCAAGGAGAAGATTGCTCTTCACTTGGCTCGCCACTGCAACCTCCGCATATTCATATCGCCGCAGAGACGGAGGGTTTTCAGCTGTCTCGAGTTTCCTCCTGAGGTCCTAAACCCTAAACCCTAAACCCTAAACCCTAAACCCTAAACCCTAAACCCTAAACCCTGATGCTGTTGAGTTGTTGTGGTTTTGATAGAAGAGCTGTACATGCAGGCGTTTAAAGTTCTTCTTATTTCAACTCCTAGCATCCATGGTCTAGGGTTTAGGGTTTAGGGTTTAGGGTTTAGGGTTTAGGGTTTAGGGTTTAGGGTTTGGTTTGCACAGGACTCAGCGCTGTTTACAGAGAAAGCAGATGAAGCCCAAGTTGATTTGGTACCCATGAACGTCTGCGGTAAACCCTAAACCCTAAACCCTAAACCCTAAACCCTAAACCCTCAATCTAAACCCTAAACCCTCACTCTAAACCCTAATAAACCCTTACGTTAAAACCCTCAAGCGAAACCCTAAACCCTCAAGCTAAACCCTAAACCCTCAATCTAAACCCTAAACCATCACTCTAGACCCCAAACCCTTACGCTAAACCCTAAACCCTCAAACGAAACCCTAAACCCCCACTCTAAACCCTAAACCCTTGCGTGAAACCCTAAACCCTCAAGCGAAACCCGAAACCGCAAGTTCTCACGAAACACTGACGGGTACCCAGCATTCAATCCTAGGGTTTAGGGTTTAGGGTTTAGGGTTTAGGGTTTAGGGTTTAGGGTTTGTGTGCAGGTTCAACGTTTCCTCCTCGAGGGAACTTCAACGGAATTCGCCAGCACCTGCAAACCCTCGGCCTTTCTGAGGCAACGCGAGTTGTTGGTAGGTCTAGGGTTTAGGGTTTAGGGTTTAGGGTTTAGGGTTTAGGGTTTAGGGTTTAGGGTTTGGGGTGTATAACTGTTGTAATGATTAACTTGCAGGGCTTAAAACCCCTACATGCAGACTCACCGCTTTGTATTCCAGCTGAAGGGTTTAGGGTTTAGTGTTTGGGTTTTAGGGTTTAGGGTTTGGGGTTTAGGGTTTAGGGTTTAGGGTTTAGGGTTTGTGTTCGATGCAGCCTTCGTGGGGACGGGTTGGGCGACTGGTTCCAAGAAGCCGTTCATGTA